AACCCTCGCGAGACCCCTCTGCTTCCAACCCAGCCCCCGGGCTCCCGTGGCGCTGCCCCCTCTGGGCCGTCGGATCCACCTCCGTACCCCGTCCCGCTAGGGCCGAACCCCGCGGACGAGATGGCCTTTGGAACTTGTGTGGAGTGTCAGCCCCGCAACTAGGCGCCTCTGTCCGGCGCGAGCGCGCACACACACACACACACACACACACACACCACGCACTCCGCACTGCTCCCCTCTACTGGACTCCTTTAACCCTGTTTCTGCTTGACTGGGCGAATTCCCAGAGCCCTGTGGAACAGAACCAGCCCCTTCGGATGCAAAGCTAGTACTGAGTGTGCAACTTGGTTTAACGTTGAGCCAGCCATCTAGGTGCTCTTTAACAATGCAACCCCAAAGAGCCTGGCCGTGGTTCAGCGCGAATCCATTGCTTCGTACTAATTATATTTCCGTAGCGTGTAGTCTTCATTCACAGCGTAAAACGTGATACATCTGTAAACACCTGGAAAGCTAACGTTTGCTTTAAAAAAAATTCAATATGTCCAGACTTGGGATGCATGAGGGGTACGATTGTTATTAGTGAACTACACACACACACACACACACACACACAAAGTGTTAAAAAGTTTATAGTAACCTTTCCAACTTCTTACACCGCTGAATTGTTTAGGTCCATAATGTACTGTAATTGTTGAGCACAGAAAGGAATGACACTTTGACCCACACATTAATGGTGTGTGTATCAGTATCAAAACAAAAAGATCACTTGTAGCACTCTTTATTTAAAGTAATAATAACGGTATGTAAATATGCTTTGTGGATTTTTTTTAATATGTATCATCTGATTCTAGACAATAAATATATTTTCCCTTCTAGGCAAAGGAAGAACCTCAAAAATACCGGACTCTGCCCAAGTTCCCTTGCTAAATCCATTTTAAGAAGTGGCCCCAAGACTTTTGACCCTAACTCCTGCTGTTTGCACTATCTCGTTGTATTATTCTTATAAAAAAGTACTCATGTCTAAGAAATGAACACTTAAATCTAGTGAAAAGACGCATGCCTGAGAATGAGACCGATTATGGTCATGTAATTCCTTTGAGAACAATGTCAAATGATTGAAGTAATAAAAATATTTGATTAAAAAAATTAAGCAGAGAATTTATAATCATAAAAAGGCGCATATGCTAATTCTTTAAAAAAGTGTGCTTTATTAATTCATTAGAATAAAATGCTACACAGCGGTATAAGGAAATATCCAAATATTATGCTAATTTTTCTTTCTTTGTAAAAACATGGATTTAGAGAACACGCTTAAGTATCCCTAGGGACAAATTTACCCATGCAATTTACATAACTCTATCCAGGTGTATTATCTTTTCACTTTACATTTCAAATATTTTAAATTCGAGTCTTGTTCACATCTGCTTTTATTCTCCAGAATGCTCTTTGTGACTAAAGTAATTGATATATTTTTAAAGTACTTTGATTCCAATGTTTTTTTCTTCTCTTTAGAAGTACCTATATTAAACAATCGGGCCATAACATATAATCTGTTATTTTTTCTCTGAGACAATGCTTAATAATTTTTGGAGCCAGTAAAAGGAAAACATATATAATCAGTCCTTTCACAAAACGGGCAATTCTGGTTATTAGGGAAGAGACACTGGATAGTCCCCTTGAAGCAGATGTAAATTGATGTCTATTGCTTACGCATCCATTCTGTTGGGAGCTGAGGATAAATAACCAGAATCATGAACTGACTCTTGGAATTTACTTCCACTTTGGGGTATATGAATATAAATAGTCTATAGGAAGTAGGTCTAGTTTCAAAAATTGGTGAGGATTCTATATCAAAATAACATATTTTAGAAATAGGTCAGAATAGAGATAGGCCACAATTCCAGAGAGGCCATTACTATATTCCTTCCTTCTACATTTACCTAACTACACTGAACCAATTACTTTTCCTTAAGACTCACTTGTTTTCTCAATATATGTTTGTGGCAAGGGGGAGAAGACATACATGTAACTTACAGATCTTTTAGAATCTGGTGAATTATATGACTAACTTTTTTTTTGACAAACTGTGATAAACCTCACAAGAAATATATAAGTAAAATTACATGAAAATTCATAAGATTAATAGTTCTCTGCTGGGGAAATTAAGACGCTTTTAATAGATACTGGTCCTTTGGAATAGAGTCTGAAGATTACATAGGGTTTGAACATTCACATCTGTAGCAAAGGTGAAAAGCTTTTCCAAACACGAATGTAGTAAAGGTCAGCTAGTACAATTAGAAACTAGGAAAATATTTAAACAGATAGACGACATCTATCAAGTTACTCTTAACATTCAGCAAAGTTCATATCAGATCATGTGTATTTCCACAGCCCTTCCTTTAAATGAGAGCAGTAATAAATCAAAGCAGAGGGTCCAGTTAGAACTTCCTATAAATTCTTCCTTTTTCTTGTCCCCATCCTAATCTTGCAGCAATTGTCAATGCTCCAGAGTTCAATTGACATGTTACAGCACTTTTACTGCATTTCCATGCTTTCTTCATTTCCTTTCCTGCTGTTAGTTCTGTTAGTTCCAACAATTCAAATTCCTTTTGTGCATTTCTATTCAATAATCCTAGTAGATTTTGGGGGGGATCCTGAAATGTTATTGTTTTTAAATATTGCAACATGCTTAACAATTGAGAAACACTTAATAGATACCGAACCCAAACAGCAATAAATGCCAATTTACATAAAATAGAAGTGATAGTGTACTGAGCAATTGTAAAAGTTTATTTGAGACTCTAATATTAAGAAAAGAGACTCTCAAATTTGATAACAGAAATAATTGTGTCATGTCTGGGTCCCTTGGGAAATACAAGGTTTCAGCATGAAGCTTAATCAAAAAGTTCACCAGAAATGGAAAAGTTTATGTGCTGCAGACAAGAATAAGAGGCTGGAATTGCTTTGGCATTCAAACCCCTTGTATACACAGCTACCATTCCCCTATGTGCCCATTATATCAGGAAATCTAGAATGAATGCAGATCCCTTCCATTTTTCCCACATACATCCCCACCTAGCAGAAGGTGTTGTGAGAAAGAAAAGATGAGAAGATGGCAGGGGTTTTCGTGGAAGATGAAAGAGGCTTTAGAGGTCTTCACTATGCAGCACGGTTTTTATTTTGAAAATATATTTATTATGCACAAGCTGAAAATCTCTGGAATTCTACAAATAATGTTTTCTTCTAAAAATCTTTTCTTAACAATCAGTAAAGACCTAACAAGTCTGGGAAATCCATGAAATTGGTCAAGTTGTCTCCTTTGCCCATTACTAAATAAGCTGAATTTCCAGCACCAACCTAATGATTTGTCATAATCTAGACAACAAACATTTACTGAATGAAAATAGAGATATAGTAAATTGATGTCTTTTATTGCGAATATAGTGAAAGTCCAGTGAATCAAGATATATTTTCATTTTTTCTTCTTAATAATGTTTTCATTTCCTATATTTTACTGAACAGTGCAGACATAATACAAAATGAAGTGAAATAAAAACAAGTATCAGTATTAATTATGCATAGTAAGATATATTAGTGATGCTTCTACAGATTAATGGATCTTTACTTGTCCATTTTATTCTAACTCTAATTATCCTGTATAATATACTTTGAAGTTTTTCAAAATAGCCATTTAAAGTTAGTTTATACTGTGATGATATATTGTCTGAGGCTAGTTTTATCTTAACTTGGGAAAATTCTTCCACTAGGAAATGAGTGGTTTAACTGTGGTCCTTCTATTCTTACTTAAAATCTCTAATAGTTTAATATTTTAAGATTCCATATACTCTGGGCATATATATACATTTTAGGATTTTTATTTTTCTTCAAAGGTTTTCTGCACCTGACTTTATTTACATTGCCAGTTCATATCATTTTGTGCTTAAAACTAATTATAGTTTGAAATGTTTAATGCTCTGATCAATGTTTAATATCATTACATAACTTTGCACTCATTAAAATAAAATTTTTGTGTTATATTCAGAATGTTAGCAGCTAAAATGTTTTTAAAACAGAGGAGGGATAGAATAAGTTAAGTGAAATATTTTCATCTTTTTCTCCTTGTTCATTTTCTGAAATTAGCTCCTTTGTTGTTGTTGTTTTATTTGTCTACTTCTTTATTGTAATAACAAATGGGACTGCTGAGTAGAACCCTTCATTCAAGAATTTACCTTTCTTCCCTTTAAACTGTTAATTAGGCAGAGAGAAGAGTGTGACTTATGGCCTAGTGTTTAACAGGACTCACACTTAATCCATCACACAAAGAGGAATACACATATGCCCTAACAGCACAACTCATTAGTTTGTATAAAACAGAAAAAAAACCCACTTAGGAAATGTAAATAAAGCTTTGCTTGATACTATCTTCTTATGAATATATAATGTGATCAGAATTTCAACATTGCAGTCTAACAGCTTTTGCTTATTTTCAAAACTACGAATTAGATTTCTCTAGGTAAACGCTAATTCAATCCTACATTTAGTGGATAAGAAGGAAAATTACATGCTGCTAAATTCATCTTTGTGTGAAAAGAATGTCCTTAGTTCATGAAGAAGACTAGAATTCTGATTACCCGTACTGTCTCAGCCACTAACATTCAATTGAATCTTGGCTATGTTACTGACATTTTGCTTCCCTGTTTCCATGCTTACCAAAAGGATAATCTAGGTGATTGATACCCTAAAAGTGAAGTGCAAAGGAATTACTAAAACGTAATTTATTCCAGTGACTTCAAGTAGCTACCATTTGAAGTTGTACAGTAACTTCCTGTCCGTTCCACAAATAGCACTAAAAGCACAAAGGAAAATAGAAGGTTATTCTGCAACATTTGCAAAGATGGATTGAAGTGATGGTGAGATAGGGCTCCTTTTGTAACTGAAGAATTCTTACTGCTTTCCTGTTGAGTTTTATTGCAGGGGACATGGCTGATCATCTTAGCCAACACACTTCCAGTAACTATGGGGTGACATGATTGATTAGTCAAATAGTGGGAGTAACTGGAAGATCTCTTAGGAGCCCATTGTGGTCGAGGAAATGCCATCCAATTGTTCACTGGCTTATGTGATGCTCTCATCACATAAAAAGGTGGACACGGGACACAAGAATTGCTACCCCCAGTGAGATCCACCTAGCAGTGAGGAAAGGCAAGAGAACTGTGTTTCAGAAAAGAAAAGCATTAAAGACCCTGCAATGTTCCAAAATTGTCCAGAATTTTCATAGCCCCAATGATGCTGGGGGTGGGTGGGAGCTAAGTATATTTATCTTTTGTGTGAGAATAAAGAGACCAAGAAAAAGAGCTTCTTACTCACCTACTCCCCCTGACTTTCTACCACTCTGTCACATGTAGGCAAGATATCCCCCAGGGAAAAAGATCAAAGATAGTTATGACATTTAGATGTCAAAATAATGAATCGTGCCTTTTAACAATACCTGGATTGAGTTGCTGGTAAGAATTTTGATCAATGCGCATTTTTAGTAGAAAATTCTTTTCTCTGGAGATGCTCTCCTTTTTTAGACCAAGAGATGATTAACACTGTAGAAGATCCAAAATGTCCAAATTCTAACTTTTCCACGTAGCCCATAATCATTTCGTTAATTTCCATTTCATAAGATCAACTCCCCACTCCCCCTTCCCCTTTTGCTCTTCATGGTTTTGTTGCTGAATTCTCTGTGCAGGCAGGCAGAGGCTGTTGCACATTGGTAATATGCCTGAAATTTTCTTTTCCTTTACTTAAGGTGTATTAACATTAATTATTTAGGTCTCAAGTGTTCAGTTTGATAACTGTAAGCACACAATTTTCAAAAAAAAATACAGAACATTTCTTTCACCGTCAGCCTAATTCCTTACACCATTTCTATCCATTCCTCACTTCCTATGAATGCAAACACCTTCCTTACCATAGATGAGATTGACTTTTTTTTTATAGAGTTTATGGGTACATTTTAAGTATAGAATACAGTTCCATTCATTACTGGGATCTTGTACCT